AAAGAATACAACCTTGTAGCACACCTTTCTTAATCTTAAACCATTCAGTGTTCCCATGTTCTGTTCGAACAACTGCCTCTTGGTCCAGGTAGAGATTCCTGAAGAACATAAATGTTCTGGAATACTCATACTTTGCAATGTTGTCCATAGCTTATCATGATCCACACAATCGAAAGCCTTTGCGTAGTCAATAAAGCACAGGTAAATATCTTTATGATACTCTCTGCTTTCAACCAAGATCCATCGGATATCGGCAATGATATCCCTCGTTCCATGGCCTCCTCTGAATCTGGTTTGAACCTCTGGAAGCCCTCTGTCAATGTATGCTTGCAGCTGTTTCTGTATTAACTTTAGCAAAACTTTACTTGCATAGGATATCTAAGAGATTGTCCAATGATTTCTGCATTCCGTTAGATCACCTCTCTTTAGAATGGGCACAAATACGGATCTCTTCCAATCAGTTGGCCAGTTTGTCTTCCACATTTCCTGGCAGAGATGAATGAGTGCTTCCCTCCACACTTTCTTGGAAGATTTCAATTTTTATTCCATCAATTCCTGGTGCCTTGTTCTTTGCCAATTGCTTCAATGCACCTTGGACTTCCTCCTTCAGTATCATAGGCTTTTGATCATATGCAACCTCTTGAAACGGCTGAACATTATCCATTTTCCTTTTGGTACAGTGACTCTGTATATTCCTTCCATCTTCTCTTGATGATTTCTGCATCATTCAATAATTTTCCCAGAGAATCTTTCAATAACGCAAATCGAGACTTGAATTTTTTCTTCAGTTGCCCCAACTTGAGAAATGCTGAGCATGTTCTTCTTTTTTAGTTTTCTGATTCCAGATCTTTGCACATTTTGTTGTAATATCTTTTCGAGCTGATCTTTGAAATTATCTGTTCAGCTCTTGGACCTCATTTCTTCCATTTGCTTTAGCATCTCTCCACTGGACAGCAAGTTTCAGTGTCTCTTCTGACATCCATATGACCTTTTCCTTCTTTCTTGTTTTCTTAATGACTTTTTGCTTTCTTCATGTATGATGTCCTTGATGTCATCCCACAACTCTTCTGGTCTTCAGTCTTTAGTGTTTAATGTATCAAGTCTTTTCTTCAGATGATCTCTAAATTCAGGTGTGATATATTCAAGGTCATATTTTGGCTCTCGTGGACTTGTTTTCATTTGTTTCAGCTTCAGTTTGCCTTTGCATATTAGTAACTGATGGTCTGTTTCACAGTCTGCCCCTGGCCTTGTTTTGACTAATGAAATGGGGCCTTTCCATCGTATCTCTCCGCAGATGCACTGAATTTGATTTCTATGTATTGCATCTGGTGAGGTCCATGTGTATAGTCATGTGTTATGCTGTCAAAAGAAGGTATTTGAAATGAACAAATCACTGGTTTTGCAGAATTCTATCATGTGTTCTCCATCATCATTTCTATCACCAAGGCCATATTTTCCAACTACTGATCCTTCCTCTTTGCTCCCAACCTTTACATTCCAATCACCAGTAATGATCAATACATCTTGATAGCATGTTTGGTCAATTTCAGATTGAAGAAGTTGGTTGAATTCTTTTATTTCATATTCATTGCCCTTAAGTGTTTGGTATGTAAATTTAAATAATAGTGGTATTAACTGGGCTTCCCTGTAGGCACATGGCTATTATCCTATCACAGACAGTTGGATATGTTCTGCATTGTTCTTTTAAATAATAAATGCAACACCATTTCCGGTGTAGTAAACCCATGTGGTTGTCAGATTCAAAATGGCCAATACCACTACATTTCAGCTCACTAATGCCTAAGATATCAGTGTTTATGCATTCCATTTCATTTTTTACAACTTCCAATTATCCCAGATTCATACTTCATACATTCCATGTTCCGATTTTCAATGGATGCTTACAGCTGTTTCTCTTCATTTTGAGTTGTGCCCTATCAGCAAATGAAGGTCCCATGGACTTTTCTCCATTTGCTTCATCACGATCAACTCTACTTTGAAGATGCAGCTCTTTCCCAGTCGCATTTTGAGTGTCTTCCAACCTGAGGTTCTCATTTTCTGGCACTATATCTGACAGTGTTTCTCTGCTATTCATAAGGTTTTTAGTGACTAAATATTCAGAAGTAGTTTGTCACTCCTTCTTTCTAGTCTGCCTTGGTCTGGAAGCTCATCTGATACCTGTCCACCATGGGTGACCCTGCTGGTATTTAAAATACCTGTGGCACAGCTTTCAGAATCACAGCAACTCACAAGCCACCACAGTAAGACAAACTGACAGCATAGTAGAAGAGATTTCACAGACTATTTGTTTTCAAATGAGGCTGTGGATCTGAGAGAGCTGAGAAATACTATCTACCTAAAGCCTAAAACTCTCCCCACAACTGGCTTCCTGTCCAGGGCTTATTCTTAAATCTTGTCACCCTATTCTGGACAGAGGACAGCCAGCACCTTGCAGAGGGCATAAGGACACCTGGAATCCAACTCTGGTCACCTTCCAGGTTCCCTTTTGTAAAATCAGTAGGTTCCATCAGAGGAGCTGTTCCTTGCCTTTCAACAGTTTTTCATTATTCTCCCTCTGAGACCCAATGTTTTTGAAGACATTGCCAAATAGACCCACTATTTTATTACCTGTAATAATTCAATTGATTTCCAATTAAACTAATAAAAGGTAAATAACTGCAAATCAAAATAAAATCTGACGGCAGTTCCCATTTATTGAATGTACATCTGCCAAGCCCACTGTGACTACACCACATTGTGAGCAAAGTGCTGTGTCGGATATAGACAAAGTCTCCCTGGTCTTTGCTTCCTCCCTCAGAGAAGTCCTAAATGCTGAACCACAACCATGCTGTGTTGGAAAAGCTCAGATGTTGTCAGAGAAGTCAAGGGACTACCCTGCAGACAGACGGGCAAGACCCTGGCACTGTGTCCCCTCCAGGATAGTAGAGTGAAGCCTGGGAGAGCCAGAACTTGATGGGCCAAGGCTTTTTTTCTGAACCTCACAAGTTTTCTAACTTTGACAGGGTGTAGTCTTAATATTTTGCTAACTGCTCAAAGGAAAATAATAGCTTTTTCCGTCTCTGACAACTTTCTGCCTTATACAGACTCTGGTTTTGACAGGTCTTATTCCTAGGTTTTATTGTATTTCTGCATCTTTGCATTTCCCCAAAAAGCCTGACCCACAATTCTCTGCAATGAGAGTTCTAGAACGAACCACCACAAACCATCCAAGAAGCCTTAGCCTTTCTAGAGGCACAAACTGTGTGGCGTCTAGAAAGACGGTAGCCACATCAAGATGCTGCATAGATAGGGTGACTGGCAGTAGTGCAGGAACTCACTGATCTCCTTGCCTCTACATACCACAGCTCTGACAGCTTGGTGTAAGACACATGGGGTCTAATGGCACAGTGGGGATGACTAGTCCCCCTGCAGAAGCATGGGCTGCCTGCTGAGGGCGCTGTACTCACCAGGGAGCCGGTCGGCTGGTGTGTGGTTGGTGTGGGGTACTCCGGAGTGGGTCCACCTCTCTGGCAGTGGCAGGGGGGAACTCCCGGTGAGGACTGTTCACAACGTCCTTGTCCCAGTAGTCATGGATAGGTGTGATGATTCCAGACACAATACGAGATCGAAGCTCTTCACTGTTCTTGTAGGTCCTGCAGGGAGTAGAAGAGGTGTCAACAGTTTGCAGCTGGCTGGCAACCTTATGTGCAGTACTCTGCCGCCAGCGGCTGTCCTGACAAGTCTTGACGGTGCACTTGGCCTGTTTGCAAGAGTGGGAACGGGCCGTCCGGCGGACCTGGGTAAAGGGGGCAACAGCCCCACGTTGTCTCCGAGGTTTGGGCTTAAGCTTCTTAGGCATCTGAGCTGCTCCTCCTCACTTACCACCCCATTAGAAAGAGCTGAGTGCAGGGGGCTTGAACTGGTTATCCTCTGTACACACCCCACCCCACCTTGTGCTCAGCTTCATTGTGTGTTCATCATGTGTCATGGGAAGGGTCAAGGAAGGCAGAGGCTCCATGGGGCGCATAAACCAGGCTCCTGGTCCAGGGCTTTGGCGGCTTAATCCCAATTCTGTTACTAATTCAGGGGCTCTTGGAAGGCTGCTCCTACTATCTCCCCTATCCTGCCAGAACCTCCTTTTTCTGCCTGTGAAGAAAAACAATGCACTTTAGCTGAGGTATTGAGACAGGCTGAGGGAACAGCGAGTCAGTGGGCAGGACTCTAGGGTTCCTAACCAACTGATGTTTTACAATGAAACTTCTCCTAGGCCAGAAAACCAGACTTCACAAATGAGAAAACCTGAAATCATACAGATGATGCTCTCTGGTCATAAGGAATCAAACTAGAAATCAGTAACAAATACAATAGGGAATCTCTCAACACAGAGAAACTGAACAACATATGTCTAAATAATTCATGAATCAAAGATAAAATCTCAAAAAATTAAAAAAAATACACAGAACTAAATGAAAATGAAAATACACCATATAAAACTATATGGGGTATAAAAATGTATGTGCTACCTGTGACTGACAACCACGTACATCACCCAGAAGGGGAAGTGGCAGAAGAACATCAACGAAGGGGCGAGCTAAGCCCTACATCGTTCAGCAAACTACTGTGAACCCGGATGGAGACCTGGTCAGCCAGTAGTGAGGCAACACCTGGGGACTCATGGGCTCAGGGTCAGTGACCCAGCCACAGAGGTCTAGAGTGGAGAGCAGGGCGGCCAGCCGATAAAAAGAGGCCGGACAGACGTAAGAACACCCACACTTGCAGATGATGCCCATTTGACTAGACTTCAATGTGGATAAACAGAGCTCAACCCTAAGAAGAAAGAAGAGGGAAAAAAGCGTCATCTGATACAATTCGATAAACATGACCTACACCTATAAATGCAGTAGCTCAAAAGAGGAAATAAGTCCCAGCTGCAAAAACTATACCCACCCCCTCCACACAAAGGGTAGACAGGGATGGGCAACTTGGACATTGGCTACCCAAAATGGGGGGAGGGATACAAAGGCAAGAAGTGACTGGCTTACAAGCTTTCAAGGGGGAACCTATATCCAGAGGGTGTGGAGGAAGGTAGAGTCTCCAGTGAGTGGTGTCCAGCCTGTCCAGGAAGGGCTGATGAAACAATATATAGATGGGTCTCTTGTGATGCAATGGTGAATAATTGTTATCAGGACTGATTGAGAGAGTTGGAAATCTAAAGATGGACATTTTGTAACAAAGAGGGGAGTGATTAATCTATCAGTCTAGGAGTGGAGGACCCTGGGACCATCAATGGAGAAGAGCGAAGAGCGGAATCCTACCCAGAGAGGCAGTGAGGCCTGGGATGGAGGAAGAAAGAGTGACGAACTACTTCCGAATCGCTAGTCACTGAAAACTCTATAAATAGCAGAGAAACACTGTCAGATACAGGACCGGAAGGTGGGAAGGCACTCAGAATGCACTGGGGAAAAAAAATGCCTCCTCAAAGTAGAGTTGACCATGATGATGTGAATAGAGTTAAGCTGAGTGGAGAAAAGCTCACAGAACCTTCATCTGCTGATGGGCCACAAATCAAAATGAAGAGAAACAGCTGTAAACATCCACTGAAAATCGGAACATGGAATGTACGAAGTATGAATCTAGGAAAATTGAAAGTTGTAGAAATGACATCGATAGTGAGCTGAAATGGACTGGTATTGGCCATTTTGAATCTGACAACCACATGGTTTACTATGCTGAGAATGACAAATTGAAAAGGAATGGTGTTGCATTGATTGTCAAAAAGAACATATCCAGATCAGTCAAGAGGTACAATGCTGTAAGTGATAGGATAATATCCATGCGCCTACAGGGAAGCCCAGTTAATACCACTAGTATTCAAATTTATGCACCAACCACTAAAGCCAGTGAAGATGAAATAGAAGAATTCTACCAACTTCTTCAATCTGATATCCATCAAACATGCAATCAAGATGTATTGCTCATTACTGGTGATTGGAATGCAAAAGTAGGGAGCAAAGAGGAAGGACCAGTAGTTGGATAATTTGAACTTAGTGATAGAAATGATGCTGGAGAACGAATCATAGATTTCTGCAAGACAAACGATTTGTTCATTTCAAATACCTTCTTTAGACAGCATAAGAGACGACTATACACATGGACCTCGCCAGATGGAACACATAGAAATCAAATTGACTACATCAGTGGAAACAGACCCCTCGTCTCCATATCATCAGTGAAGACAAGGCCAGGGGCAGACTGTGGAACAGACCATCAATTACTGATATGCAAATTCAAACTGAAGCTGAAGAAAATGAAAACAAGTCTACGAAAGCCAAAATATGACCTTGAATTTATCCCACCTGAATTTAGAGATCATCTGAAGAACAGATTTGATGCATTAAACACTAAAGACCAGAATAGTTGTTGGATGACATCAAGAGTAGTTCTGTGGGTTTTTTAATGCTTAAGTGGATGTTTGTTGTTGTGTCATTAAGCTTACCGGGTGTCTCCTGGTGGATATGATCAGGAGATAGGCTTCCCTTTTTGTGTGTAATGCTTAGCAGCTGTTATTGGCTCTTGTCTCAATTGTGGAATATTATGGGGTATGCTTGTGGCTTGGCTATATGGCCACGACTGCTGACTCTTCTTGGGTAACGTAGGGAGAAAAAGCTCCCACCTCCAGGAAAAATGTGTGATCAAAAGGCCCAAAAGCAGAAGCAATATAAAAGCAGAGACAAAAACTACCACTTTAAAACAAAAATAAAACTGTGGCCGACTGTCCAGTTGCCTTGCTACACAGGCAGTTTGTGTGTACCTCAGAAGCCTCCAGTAGTGGGTGGGGGGGCTCAGGCCCCTCCTCAAGTCACCACTGTAGACATTAAGAAGTTAATGGGAGAAAGACTGTTTACTATTTTTGTCTCTGAAGGTCAGTTACGTATCTGCATGTACACATTGTAATTCTTGAACTAGTTGTGTCTTTTTATGTTGGGGTTTTAGACTGTTCATATGGTTTGTCTGTCAAGCCAAACCTGCTTTTTTTCTTGCTGGATAGGCAGGGGTAAAGGGTCACACACAAGTTAAACTTTACGGCTGGGACTCACAGGCAGAAGTCAAAGCAGCAGCCAAAGAATTTGCCCTTGGACCAATGGGGCTCTTTCTCTGTGTCATGGCAAAGCTGTGGTCTCAACGCTGGAGTTTTTTGGGGGGTGCGCACCACCCACCCTCCTGAAGGCGTCCGGGCTGGGCAAACAAGGTGTGATATGGAAGAGGAGGAAAAAAATGTGTAGAATCCCCCCACATCTCCTTTTTCAAATGTCACTGCACCACTTTTAGCGTGGGTTCCCTGTGCCAGTCTGGCTGTAGCTCTGCCCTTTGACATTCGCCCGGGTGGGATGGCCGCAGAGGAAGTCCTGTGTCTTAACCGATCTCTAAATCGCAATGTTTTCCTTTATACCATGAGTTTTCCACTGGTGGTTGCGGGAAAATGACGCCCAGACCCTTATGCTAGATCCAGAACTCTGGTGCTGTTCCGTGAGAGCTGTGTCTCTGCGTTCTCAGCCCCTCCCCTACAGAGCCTGTCCTACTTGACCCTGCTCTGCCACTGCCAAACTGGAAGTCTTGGCAGCTCATTTTTAACAACACTATAAACTCCAGTCAATGACAGAAGAACAAATGATGTTTGAACAACTGAATATCTATAGAACAAAAAAAATGATTCTTGATCTAAGTCTCATGCCTTAAATAAAAAACTAATTCAAAATGCATCACAGACTTAAATGCAAATAATACTATAAAACATTTAGAGAAAAATAGGATAAATAAAAAACATTTGCTTTGAAAAAAATCTGACAAGAGAATGAGAAGATAAACTATGGGCTGGAAGAAAACATTTGCAAACCACAAACCCACCAAAGGAATAAAGAAATACCTAGAGTAAAGAACTCTCAAAAACACAATTAAAAAAAATCCAAATCAGAAAATGGACAAAAGACATGAGCACACATTTTGCCAAAGTTGTGTAAGTAGCAAACATGTACATAGGTTGGATATACTATGATTCCATTTATATAACATTTACATAACAGTTTTGACAAAACTTTTAAAATAGAGAACAGACTGGTGGTTGCCAAGGCTTAGGGGCAGGGCAGGGGAGGTGGGTATAGGCAGCAGGAAATGATCCTGTGGTAACAAAATGTTCTGTATCACTGAATACCAATGTCAGTACCCTGCTTATGATAATGTAACCCAGTTTTACAAGATGTTACCATTGGGATGGACTGCTGGCATGGTACTGTACGATCAGCACTGGACTGTGAGCCACAGGACAACAGTTCAAACCCACCAGCTGCTCCTTGGAAACTCTATACAGGGTTGCTATGAGTTGGAACTGACTCAACGGCACGTAACAACACCACCGTTGGGGTAAAGCATAAAGGGTACAAGGATCTATTATGAGGTAAAGCTAGTCTATAATTAAAATGAAAAAGTTTAATCAAAAAATATATTTATGTTATAACCACAAATATAAAGAATATTAAACTTGATCAGTGTTAATAACTCGCATAGAAGGGGGCCTGGGCACATACTGGAGAGAGCTAAGTGGATAACACACCACCTACACCCACCCACTGCCATCAAGGACTCTCCATTTCTAGCC